GGTGGTGGCAACATCATGCTTTGGGGGTGCTTTTCAGCCAAGGGGACGGGACAACATTGATGGGAGGATGGATGGGGCCATGTATCGTGGAATTCTGGACCAACATCTCCTTCCCTCAGTGAGAGAGCTGAAGATCGGTCGAGGATGGGTGTTTCAGCACGACAACGACTCTAAGCACACCGCCAAAGCAACAAAAGAGTGGCTGAAGAAGAAGCACATCAAGGTTCTGGAGTGGCCTAGCCAGTCTCCAGACCTGAATCCAATTGAAAATCTTTGGAGGGAGCTTAAAATTTGAGTTGCCAGGCGACAACCTGGGAACCTGAATGATTTGGAGGCTGTCTGCAGGGAGGAGTGGGCCAATATCCCTGCCAACATGTGCACAAACCTTGTCAGCAACTATAAAAACCGTTTGACATCTGTGCTGGCCAATAATGGCTTTTCTACAAAATATTAACATGCTGTTTGTCCAGGGGGTCAAATACTTCTTTGCAAGAGGGTTCAAGTAGACGGGGCGATACCCTTAAGCACCTTGTAGGCTAGCATCAGCAACTTCAGAAGTCCAGTAATATAAAATATGAAAATATCAATATTTTAACATCATTCCATTAAGAAAAACTCTGAAGATAAAGGTATGATCATCAGCCAAGAATAAATGTCAGGAACATGTTTTCAGTTTTTCTTTTGGGTTCAGGGCATTCAGACATCACTCTTTGTCCCGGCTGCGTTGCTGGCCTTCCCTCCACTCTGTTATAAGGCGGTGAGCAACGGCATGTTTTGGAGGCAGCCAGACGGTGGGCGGGTCATTTCTCCTGGGTGGAGCCTTTACCTGTAGAGCGCAGGTGATTGCCTCCTCAGTGAACCACCGAGCGTCCTCCAGCTCCGAATGGTCCACATTCAGCTGCAACAAACAAAAGGCCACATAAAACTAGTTACACACTGCAAAAACAATCTAGAAATAAGTACCTTCATTTGAATAGGTAGGTAAGATTGGAACAATGGAATCAGCATTTTTACTCTTAAAATAATTTAATATGCACTTGAAATAAGACAATGCAAATGCTTTTTCTTACCTCACTCAATTCAAGAAAAAATGCACTTAAAATGCAATTATTTTAAGAAAAAATAACTTATTTAGATTTCTTTTTTTTTTTTGCAATGCAGCTCAGCAACATGCCCAGGTGTTTCCCAAAAGTCACTCCTCTTGCTGAACTTTCTGTCAGCTCATTGAAAAATGAGATTAAAGTGTTGACACAATATTGACATTTTCCAGTATTTTTGCAGACCAAAAAAGGTTAACACAGAGGCTTAGTGTAATAATTTATAGATGGCCTGCATAAAATAATTTTTTATCAAAACAAAACACTGCCATTTAGTCGACCCCAGCGCTGCTTAGTGAGTGAGGGAGAAAGCAGAAGTGACGTATGCAGGAGAAAGACAGAGAGCTGGAATAGTGGTTTTGTTATGTACTACTGCTGAAGTTTTCATGGATTAGGATACAGCTATGGCTTCACCTTGTGTCGCAGCTTTTTGCTTCAGTCTGAGTAAGGATAAGGTCTGCTTAAATTTGTTTCCTAAAGATCCTGAGCTGTTTTTAAAGTGGTTGAAGTGCGATAGATGAGACTGGTTGGAAGTTGGAGCACTCCACGGTGTCTCGTCTGTGCTTGAAATATTTTGAGAAGGACGTGTTTTTTATTTTGTTCCCTGATTGTAAATGTTGCTTGGATGTTCAGTGAAACCTTACGGTGGGCTTTCCAAAAAAACTTAAAGAACAATCCACTGGAATTGGTTTTCCAAGTTGGAAGACATTTTGCTTCCCATCCAGAAAGCTTTCTTACTTCAAAACGTCAGGAGCAGTATTGAGTTTCAGGCTTATATAGAGTATATAGAGTAGCCCAAACAAAAGCCTTGTTATGGCTTAGAAAACATGCAATTTGAACCGAAAATAAGGTCCACCTCTTAGTAATGGGGAGTCGTTAGCGTCGTCGTTGATGTGCAAAATGTTTTTACCCCCTGCATGGCCCCGCCCTTTTACAGAGGCATGGGCCAGTATCAGGTATTGCAGGCCAACGACTCCCCATTACTAAGGGGTGGACTTTGGTTTAATTTCCATCTTTTCTAAGCGAGGAAGCATTTTTTTGTTTGTTTTTTTTAGGTTGTTTTTGGGCTGGAAACAGGCAGATCTGACAACCCTGGCAGTGAGGGAAGGATGGAGTTGCTAGCTATACCTTTAAGAATATAGTAGACAATTTCTTGTAACAGCGGTGGAGGATTAATTTGAAAATCATGTTAATTTAAAGACTAATATAGTAATTTATATTTTATACACTAATAACTGGTTATACTATCTGTACGGCGCTGTTTGTTTTCTATCGGGGCTGCTGTGCTCATATTAGCTGTCACCCTCCGGTTCAGAGTCTGACTCTGTAGGCTAGAGGTCCGCTCTGGATGGTTCTGACCCGTAAGCTGTGATGCCTCCATATTCCTCAGTCACTACCTTCTCCTGAGCCTCGACTGACTAATGGTTCAACCCCACCAACCAGTGTTTGACTGGATGTTTTGGAAAAATCATCAATGTTTCTGTTCATCTCCATTATAGAATGCTGAGCTACCTCCAAAACTGTTCTCCTTCTGATGTCTCAACATGGAGATGGGTTTTTATCAATCCGAGTTCTGCTGTGGCGCTACTAAATCTAGGATATTAAAGTTAAAAATAAGCCTGTTTGATTCCTAATAACTCAGAAGCACCTGGTATGTCGAGCTGCATGACTTTGATGCAAAATTAGATTAAATCAATATCTCACCATCAACACTTAAAACACTAACCGAATCTATCTGTTTTATTCTGATTCGGCTTTTTATTATATATACAATAAATACTGTTTCCACATTGGTCTTTAAAAGTTTGAGTCACCTGAGAGTGGGCGGGGCTAACAGTGGCATGGCAGGCCAGCATGAAGGAGCTATGTGGGAATGGCCAGTGCTGGGAGGAGCTGTAGGCAATGTTCTGCACTTCCAGACCAACTTCTTCTGCCACCTCCCTGTACAACGCCTCTTCCAGAGTCTCCCCTTAAAGCAACACATACTCATGTGTTAAATACTAGTTTTACTTTGGGTGATAACTTTGTGAGTTAGCAACAGGAAAGACTCACCCATGTCACAGAAGCCAGCAAGGGCGCTGTACAACCCTGGAGGAAATGATGACTGACGACCCAACAAGCAGCGTTTCCCATCAGATACCAGGACGATGACCACTGGAGACATCTGCCACAAATCAGACCCGTTAAAAAACAAGGAAGTTCAACTTTTCAGAAACCAATTGGAAACTGGTCACTTATTAGACAAACACCTGTAAAGAACCCAGTAAGAAACAGGTAGAACAAACAGTTAAAAAACATTTATGGAAATCCATGTATGGTTTGGATCTTTGTTCTTTTTAGTGTCAAAATAAAAGCATATGAAATTAAATTAGAAAAACAACCATTCCAAAATCAAAATGGTTAAAATAAAGACATGTAGATCAAACAATGGGCCTTTAAAGACATGAAAACAGACTTGAGGTTTACCTTCCAGCGAGACGGCATTGCTAAACATTTACCAAAGACTACAAGGGAATGGTTTAAGTTAGGGTTTGTTAAAGTGTGGGGGGTGCCCCCTCCTCTAGGAGGCACCACAAAGAGCTTGAGGTACAACATAAGAAAAAACCCCAGAGAAATAAGTAAGTTAGCTCATTAGCTAACCTGGGGTGGATGTATCAATGTGGCAAACTAACAGAATATAACATTTGTGACCTCCTGCACCTTTAAAGCCAAACCCACTGCAAAGGTCAAAGTGACATGGCTATGCTGAATGCCAAAGGGCTTCTCTAACTAAACTGTGACTTTGATGAAAGTCAAACAGTTGAAAAACCCAACCAATGACAACAGCAAAGCTCAAGAATCAAATAATGTTGAATAAATACTGGGTCAGAAGACAAAAGTATTGTGCACTCCGATACAAGCAGGTTTTATCTAAAAAAGGCCACCTTGGTCAGACTAGCACCATGACGGCTAACATTAGCCTGGGTGCCAGTCCGAACTTAGTCCCGCCCACAACGTTTGAGTTCGGGGAAGTTCGGTCTGGCTCTGCTCCATAGTAGCGCGAGTATTATCGCCCACTGTCAGGCGATCCAATCAAATTGTCAGGGCGGGTTTTATACAATGATGGACAGACGATCAACAGTAACGTAATCTACCACGTGACAACAACAATGGCTGCCGCTGGAGAGTTGAGGTGAGTAGATTCTGCTATTAGGTCTGTTCTAGAAGATATCGACAGCAAATTAATTTTAAAAGAGGAACAGAGAAACGCGATCAAGGCTCATCTTCTTATTCTAGGCGTGCAACTGCACGCTTTGATTTTTGTTGACAACAACTATGCCTCGCTTAACATACGTCATGCACTCCGTTGCTCTTATTGGTTGTAGGTCTATCCAATTGAGTGCAGAGGCATTTTTTTTCCTGGTTCGTTCGAAACACGCCCCATAATCACAGCTCTATGGAGCAGTATCAGACTCATATTCTGACTAGAATTGAGTCGGACTACGTCAGGCTAGGCTAACATAGCAAAGGGAGTGAAATTCAATATGGAGGAGTTAGAAGACTGCAAAAAGAAGGTGGCAAAACTGGAGGTAGATATTGGAGAACAACAATGGTACAGGATGCAGGATGGTGTCTCCGGTTCTGGGTTTTGGTGAATAAGTTCCTGAGTCCTGAAGCCCTGAACAGGGATGCACCTTTTCAACCTTAGCCTGAGCCAGAAGACAGTTCTGGTGATTAGGAAGACTTTCTGCCTGTCTCTGGTAGCAAAGAAATCTCAGTCGTCAATCACTATACAGTTTTTACCTTGACAACCCACATTGTCCTACAGGGACTCCTGCTGGTTCACCCTTTAAACCCCCACAACCGAGACTTGATTTTTTTTCTCAAAGACATTTGCATATTACTAGAATTTAGACTTTTTGTTGGGCTGAATGAGAAAAGAAACAAGCAACTATCAGAGCCCCCCAGCAGTTTCCTAAATGCCCTAGAGTTGAAGATATGATCATACACCTGCTTCAAAGTACCCATTATAATTTATAGCAGGCAGGCAGCACTGTTCTTTCAGTTCTTTCACAAGGGTCGGTCTGATTTTCTTTCCCAGAAACTCCAGAAACCTCCGGTAGAGACATCAAGAATTGCCTGAATCAAAGACTACCTACCAAACAGACCGCAGATTGATAGACTGAAGGTTCAACTGTTCGACCAAAAAGTCAGCAGCACCGGAGCACCACAGGGGACGGTAATCTCACTAGTTCTTTCTATTCTACCTCTTTTAGGTTTTGTTCAATTTGTATAAATTTGTTCTGATATATTTCAGTGGTTTTCTACAATGCATGCCTGTTAGTTTAGGCCTTATCCCATCATTGCATTGTTTGAATATTCTTTGGCTATGCTCACACTGCAGGCAAATGCTACCTAAATCTGAAAATTTTGCCAATAGGCAACACATGTCCGCCTTTCTCATGAAAGTCTAATTTTCATTACTCACAAACTCCAAATGACCCACTTTCTTATGTGGTAGTAATACAGATACGTACCTGATCGGTTACAAAGTACCTGCAGCCGAACTGTCGTCCCGCATTTTATTTAAATTTTACATCACACCATGGCTTGCACAACACTACCAAAAGGCGAATCACTGCAGGAGCAATCACAGTTGCTTTAAAGTCATTGGAAAACTGCCGCCGCATTTCCAAATTCTCCTGAGTGGTGCACGGCTTTACACGAGTAAATAAAGTGAATGTGATTGGTCATTTATCAAGGGGGCAGGAATGTTGTGGCGGAAGGTTTGCAGGCAAGTTTGGTTGTGGCCGGTGTCTCGGAAGCATCTTGCTAACCAGTTAGCAACTTAGTGCTAGCAGGTTCCCAATGGGAAATTCCTTTGGGAACGAGTAGCAATAAATTGGTGACTTAGAAACGACGCTGTGAAGGAACACTATGGACAGAGGAAACATGCAAGAGTAGGAGAGTTTAGTGTCGGAGGTCGTGGATGAGTCTCCTCCGTCATCCATTTTTTATGTAGAGGAGGAAAGCGGGGACAAAGATGTTGTGGAAGAGGACGCCAGGGCGGCAGAAGCTTGGTTTGGTGTAGAAGGCTTCCAGCCGTACATGTTTGAGCCCTTGCCTCGCAACGCTGCCAGTTCTGTTAGCTCTACGCCTGCCGAAGACACAGACATCCATCCCCGTGAACACTGGGACGCAACTCAATGAAAAAAGTCTGATTTCTTATTTCAACCGTTGCGTATATTAGCTCCGACATATGAATCAAGATGCTATGACCGAAAAAATGTGATTGACAGATGACCATCGCTTTATGTTCAGGCTGACGTATAACTAACTGGCCTGCATAAGATAACGACAAAAAAACACAGATTTAAATTTTCTAAATTTTGGGACAATATAGTCTGATAAAGAGTACATTAATATACATGTTTAAGCCAGAATGATTTAACATTTAAATATGATTTCCCTATGACTTTAATAATGTCTTTTGTTTTCTTACCTTCCCTCTTTGTTAATGATTTGGTCATGATACCGTCAGCTCACAATGCTCAGTAGTTTGGAAACACAGATTCACCAGCATTCCCATTCAATGTTGTTTTTTCAAAATCCAGAGAAATTTAGAAAAACAATTCTACAGCCATTCTTGGACCTATTAGATTACAGGCCCCTAAGCCCTCCTGATATGAGATCTTGCAACTCATCCCCTGCCTTTTTTTCTTACATTTATATGAACTATATGGATTAAATTGCACTTCTATACTAGTGAAGATAGTCAACGGGAACTGCCCTGCCTCTCGATGGCAAGTCCATGCCTGGTCCCAGTTAAACTTTTTAGTTAAAGAAAGATTCTGACCCAGCTTGCTCTGATTTAACACCTTTGGGTAGTAGATGATAGAACTGCTGCTGCAGCTTCTCTGGCTACCAGCCTGGTTCCGTTGGGTCGGTTGCCCTGTAGCTCCACAGAACTTGTTAATCTGGTGCCATCGGAGCAAAGCCTGGGCCTGCAAGAAAAATAGATTTCAGACCTTAGACTAGAAAACATGAACAAGTTCCTGACTGTCAAAAAAGACAGAAGACACGAGTTCAGCTGCAGTTACTCACCTTGGCAACTACAGGTGCATCAGCGCCGGCTAGAAGAAAGAAAGCTTTTCTGAGTTCCACGAATGTTCCTTTACATTTCTCTGCTATAGCTGCTTGATCCAGTTCTCCTGGAAACAAACCAAAAGATGTCAACAGAATTCCAAGAACTTAATCAGGCACAAAATTGCTCAAAGTCTGTCATAATAAAATAATAAGTTCTTACCCACATCCAGACAGAACTGAGCCTGGTTCTTCTCAGAACAGCCAATTAGAATGGACTCTTTTAGCAAGGATCCATCTGAACCAGCGCTCTCCAGGACTGACTGGACCTCTAAAAGGTAAAGCTGAAATTAGATCAGGATTTATAAACAATGATCATGTTCTTCACTGTGGCTTTAATCAAAGGCACCCCTGGATAGGTTTCTAAATGGATGGATGGATGGAATTGCACAATTTTAAGAAAGAGGAAGAGTTCTATACAGCCACAGGAATGGCTGTGTGGAGAACCTGGGGGTATCAGATTATGACTAAAGATGCTGAAGGTGAGTGAAAGTCTGTTACCTCCAATTTAAACATGTTTTCTGGGTGCCATAACCTTTATGACTGAGAATTTGCACGGACAAATAAATTGTGTTAGTCTCTACATCACATATATCTGTCTTTCTGGATTTGATGTTTGTCTCATTGACTGAATTTGTTACTAAATGTTTATGGGTCTTCATCTGAGGCTACGTTCACACTGCAGTCTGAACAACACAGATCCGATTTTTTTTCCAATCCAACCCAGGCCACTTGGCTATGTGGTCCTGAATCCGATACGAACTTGGATTTTTTTCAATTCATCCGACCTGGACGTCATTAATACCCGACAAAGGTCACTATTCTGCATCTTGCCATGCAGAAGTGGCAAGAAAAACAACAACAATGGCAGATGAGGATGTGGAGAGCAGTAATTATGTTTAACCATATTAAAAAGATTGAGTTTTTATGGTTGGAAAAGACCGCTAGATGCGCGCCGGCACTACCATCCATGTTTACTTAAGAAACACAGAGCACGCTGGCCTGTGACATCATCACGTCCTATACTGCGTATGCGGGACACTTGCGTTGTATGACTGCAGTTCACACAGGAGATCACATACAAGTCGCATATATTAGGGAACGCAAAAAAAATCGGATTTCACACAAAAATCTGAATTGAGTATAAAGGCCTGCAGTGTGAACATAGCCTAAAGGTCTGTTCCATGTTATAAATGTCTGTACCTGAGTAGCCAAGAGCGACAGGTTTAAAGCTTCCTGGATCACTGCACTGCAGCAGTGGAACCAGACGATGAAACAGGAGAATCTGCCCATTCTGCAACGCGGAATAACAGGCTGCATCATTCGCCTTCAGGTTGTTGATATGCCTGAAACGATCAAACAACCAGTGAGCCATGGAATTATTCAATTAATCAGATTGACTTGAGCTCCCTAACCTCATTCTGGACACGAAGCTTGAGCAGCATCGTGTCAGATTATAATGTCCTGCAAAGAGGAGGATCCTCAGGGGTCTTAACAATGCAGACATACTGGACTGGCTCATAATAAACTGAAACTGACAGCTATGAAGAGGATTGGTTTGGTTCTGTTGGTCTGTAGAATGAAAGCAGGGTAAAGTTAGCCACAGAGAGGAGTGAAGGTGCAACTAGTTGATGTTAAGTTCAGGAATCAACTGCAAGGGCAGTGTATAGGAAATTCACTCACACAGACCAATGTCTTCTTTTTGACTCACACCACCCACTGGAACACAAACTCTCTGTCATCAGAACCTTATAACACCGGGCCGAGCATGTCCCTACTAAAACAGAAGGGAAGAACAAAGAACAGAAACACATCAAAGATGCTCTTCAAACCTGTGGACACCCAAACGGAGTATGCGACAAATCATTAAGGAAATCCAAAAGACACACAGCAGAACATAACGGTGAGAAGATTAAACATCAACATCGCAGATGTATTTGGAGTCTCTGACAGGGTTCCTACAGCATAAGGCAAGTTAAATTCAAGTCTTTTTAAGACTTTTTAATGCCACTTGAAATAAAAATTTAGACCAAATTCACAAGAAACACAAGAAAAACCTGCTTGTAACAACTTAACCCAAAGGTTTATTTTAACATAAACCACTGCACTAATGTTT